GCGCTGTCCTAGGCCTTAGTTATAGTAATAGCTTATAGTTGAAAGGCAGTTTTCGTTCTAGAATTCGAAGCATAAATTATCCCAACATATAAGTGGATAATTAGTGTGTAATCTAGGTCTTTTTTTTCTCTCTCTTATTATTTACTGTACCGAAATCAAAATGTCTGCCTGTAACTATCCATCATGGATGAAAGAATCTGTTCCGGGTTCCTTGGGTCAAGGCTAATAATTATCTGTGCATGCAGTGCTAGCAAGATTTATTCCATGGCAGCACAGGGTAAACGAGATTGCCATTACTCTCTGTACATCTGATTTGCCTACATTTACCCTACCTGTAGAATACCCTCCTCTCTCCCAAGACTAGCATGTTAGAAATTACGAATACCCATCGCCACCCAAGGAGAAACATGTTCGCCCTTCTCTTCTCTTGTAGTAGTAGTAGTAGTAGTAGCAGTAGTAATATGTAGTAGTAATCAAAGAAACCCACCGCCGGAATAGGTCCCGCGAGCTGACAGCACGAAAGAGACAGGGTCCCTCAGCCAGACACATCCCAGCGAGAATACCAACAGGCTGGTTGAGCTGCGCAGGGATTTGCCGATCGCCCACACTGAAATCGATGGGGTGTGTGGGTGTGTGTGTGTGTGCGGAGCAAGCAAGAAAGAGTCGGAACAGGTATACCGTCATGGCCCGCCTATCTACTACTAGTAGATAGGTAGCCTTTTAGACATGCTCTCTTTCACTACCACTACACGGTACTACTGCAGTACATAGGTACACGTATCCTTTTGACATATGTACTTGGCTGGTGGGTTATTGCATGCTGTTACTAGTTGTGGACAAGCTTGGTAGCATTAGCAACGATATCTGTTTTTCTTTCTTTCTTTCTTTTATTTAATTCCCACGTTGAATCTTCCCCATCCTCCCCCCCTTTGGCTGTAAGTTCCTTGGAACTATTGAGCTGACGGATATTGATGTCTCTAATCAATTGTCATTTGTATTGCTTTTTGCGCGCGCGCGCGTGTGTGCGTGTGTATTTGTGTGTTTTCTTTTCTTTCATAGTCTTGATGCTCTCATATCTCACCCCAGCTCACCTGGGCATCTACTAAAGGATCGTGCTTTGAAGAGATCGGGTCATTACGACCGAGAATCCCCAATGAGATTTGTCGTGCAGATGCGCCATGCAGCCACTGACTAGCAGATCTCTGTCTCTCTCTTTCTTACGCTCCATAGTATATGGTGTGCCTCGACGCTTTGATGCAGACAGGCATTGGGAGTGGTCAAGTAAGTCGCCTGCGAGACTGGTTTTTTTTTCTCCCCTTCCATCTTTTTTTACCCACTCAAAACCTCGTGATAGTCAGGGTGTAGGTGGTTGAGTAATATACGGTAGCCAATGTACGTAAGGTGCCTAGGCGAATTAGTCGCCCGCTATTCGAGGGGTCACGGCGTTCAAGTCTGTCTCGATCCGCTGTCGCTCAACGGTCCACCAACTTCACCGCTGGACAAGTGTCTAAACGTCTTTCTTTTATGGTGTGCTCCGCTGTACATTACCTACATGCATTACCTATCAGGTACATACCTAGGGCTAGTAGACACCTACCTGCCTCTGCTACAGAGTACCTTATGCACATTATTCCCTCGTGCATGTAAAATAGCGTGCATCCATCCGATCGATCCTTTCTATATCCAAACCTCGTACCATTTACATACATAGCTGTCTTCTGGCGTGTAGTGGGTAACAATTGTCCATCTGCTTGGGCTAGTAGTAATCGACAGCCTACTAGGTACCTAGTAGGTTCTCGGTTGCTGTCTCAGCCAAACAGTATCATCGCACAGCGCATATTCCAGTCAACATGACTGCTGCTAACCCGCCAGCCTGCCATGATGATTCGATGATATATAAAAAAAAAACAAGAAAGGCACGACTTTGTCTGAAATCGTGTGTTAGTGGTTCATTGGCAACCAAGTTGCAGAACCGGGGGAGGGAAGGGGGGCGGGTATGAATCTGAGAAAGGATCGCTGGCTGAGCTATGGGTAATGTGGTAGGTAGGTAGGTACAGGTAGGCAGGCAGGTAAACAAGGCACATACCTTGTACGTGTACCGCATGGTAGCGATATGTCATGTACGCAACCAATCCCGCGAGCAATTATCCCCCCCCCCCGTCCCAGCAGTCTGGTTAACCTATCCTCGGCTATCGACATTCGTCCTCCCGTGTCGTAGTAGCGGCCGCTCCCTCCATCCCTCCCTCCCTTACCTCCCCCCTCCCTAGTCATTCCCGTACGATACATAGTAGATCTGGCCTCGGCGCAGGATACATTCTCAATAAGTTCACACCCCCTCTCTCCTCTCTATATCCACCCTTCTGTCCATGCCCCTAGTCCTTCTTCCCATCTGAGTCGAAGTAGTGTAATGAGTTCCGACGACAGCTCGCCACTGGTGCGTCTTCACTCACCACCCACATACCCTTTAGGGGTCTTACTACTGAAAGGAGCCGTGCCGCTGCGCCCGTTGCTGTTGCGCTACAGAGTAATAGCAGAAATTACCTACCGGCTGAACTGACTCGAAACGACAGCTGAGGCTAGTCTAGTTTATTCGCTGAAATTATGAAGTCCGGTCCCTGGTATATTAACATAACAGGCACAAACTCCTCATGTTGTCTGTATCGGGGCAGCTGAAAGAAAGCTGGAAGCGCTGTCCATGTCAGTGGCACCTGCGCGCACAGCATGAGTGAGCTATTCGCCCTCGTCGTCGTCGTCGTCGTCGTTGTGGTCGCATTCGAGTAAGCTAGATAGATCAAGTGTGGGGATGTATTACTCAAGAACACACACACATTCACGGCCTGGTGCCAAGATACCTACATAAGGTCTTGGGTGCTGGTGAAAGGAGAAAGAGAGGGTAAATTCCGGTGCCCAATGCCCGTCGATCCTCCAAGAAACGCCATCAACTCTCCGCTGTTGTCTGGCTTGCAGCCGGGCATGGGGATTGGAAGGCAAGGGGAAGTCTATTATTATCCCCCTCCCCCGGTTCACACGGCCGGCTTATACCCAGCCTATCGCAACCTGGCCGCCGCGTCATAACAATGGCGTCTTATACCACCACACCGTCTTAATCACCTTTGATATCGTATTGTCATCTATTTTCTTCATTGCATTTGTCTTGGCCTTTTCTTCGCTATCAACTGCCCTTTCTGCGGGCGAGGGGTTGCCGTGATCCTACGGATGGCGTTTTCTCCATTGGGGGCCACTCACCTCACCTTTGTGGTAGACTTTACGCCCGCCGCCCGCTTCCAACTTCCTTGAGGCGTGCTCTTGTGTTCCCACGGGTACTGCCGGCTCCGTCCCGCTCTCTGTGCTTCCCCGATCCCGATACAGTTGAATGCCTCCGACTGTATTCATGGCGCCCCCCTTACCCACCCACCTAGAAAGTGAAGAAGTCTGAATTATTTCTTCCTTTATGCGCCACCTCTTCCACTGAACTCTGTACGTGTCCCGCGCGCTTGACTCGAGGCAAGGTTTCGTGGCCGGTTTGGCAGCTGTATGGTACAGGACGAATACGAGGGTTGGACGTGAGACACGCATCGTGGGTCTATAGCGTTAGAGGAACTAGCCGGCCGGCGTGGAACAATCTTACCAAGGTTTATCATGATGCATGTGCGAGGACGATCTGACGTCTTCAGGAGACAAACATGCCGACTTCACCTGCTCTGATGGATAACGTCTCCAAGTCCGTCGTGACCATCCGAGGCCTGGCTGGCACTGGACGTAGAGTTTGGCGATGCCTGACTGAGCACGAGGGAGGGCTAGAGGAGGTCGGCTCAAAGTGGTAATAATAGAGTTGCTACGGAATGTTGTACCAGTTAGCATTACTTCTAGATTGATGCCTCATGGAGTATTTCCAGGGTATCTCAAGTTGTGATAATGGCATGATCTCGATGCAGCCGTCAACCTTTAACTGACAAGTCAACGTCAGTACCTATCACGATGTTTTTTCTCCAACAAATGTTGGATACTTACTATACTGGAGCTACTTCCATTCAGTCCAAGACCTAGGCAGCAGGTGAAAACTTGCCTGCTATCACGTCACCGTCATGCCATTTTCAAGAATCCTGACATATGTGACCAAGTCTATTTCTGCCAAGAAGGACCAGAGCCGTATGTTTTTCCCATTCTTAGTTCATAACAGAGTCAAGAAGTCTCACAGACTACAATCAAAGTATACACACAAAGACTCTGCGCAATGACTATCACATTCAACCGAGGTTCATGGGGATCCATGGGTGAGTGCTCTCTCGATTTGTTCCCTGAGCCCGCTCACCACGCCTGTCAAGCTGTGAACTTCTCGCGTCTTCTACAATGACGGCCGCCGTGTCCACAAGTGGCCATGACAAGTTCCACGGCCATTGCAAAGCTTCACACCTTGCATCCTTCACCAGCCATCAAGTTGACATTTCCAGAACTCTAATTTATGTCTCGCCAGTATTTTGATTGTTGTGTTGGAATCCCAGCGTGTTTAGGGCCACGACGACAGCTGCTGGGATACTTTGACTCTGTTGAGCCTAACGTGCTATCTGGCTTGCCTGATCACTTCCGATGGTGTCTATTAACAATATTTTGTGCTTTGCTGTGTGGTTCATGGTTGCTAATGTTTTCCATTCCCATACGCAAAGAGTCGCATGGTCCATCCTCAACCAGGTGCATGGCCATTTTATCACGGTGGCCTGAAATCGAAATCCACGGGGCCAAATGCTCATTCTCGTCCAGGCTCTATCGTGAATTGTGAGATACTGTACTCGATGCGCTCTTTCTCTTTCATTTTGATTCGCATGTTAACGGTGACTTTTCTTCCGTAAAAACCATTTGCCCGGAGCAGCCTCGTCTGTCATTTTGTGGCTATTCAGACCTCGACATCTACAACTCTGGTCCAAATTGGTTGGTCCCAATGGGGCTGCGGGTTCTCAAAGTTGGGTCAGGTCATGATATCCCAGAGACTGAGATTCCTCTTTTCAAGGTATCCGAGCTTTGGAATGGTGTAGTTTTGCGTCTTTCTGCTGAACCTTTGTCTCGTCACTCGTGCCGACGACACCAGTCATTTGATCGTGTTCGATAGACATATCTTGACTGTTGGCACTCGGGGAGGCTCCATCGTCACCGGGAACAAATGAAAAGCGTTGTCTTGATGTACGTCTACTTTCTTCTTCTGTCACTCGTCGGGGTTGTCGCAATACACGTGCCTCCTCGACGCCTGGCCCCCGTGTGGTATCATGATCAAGCAAATGTTGATGGCTATTGGAAAGATGAATAGACGTAAGCTCTTGTTCATCTTCCGCCGAATCCGAACTACTCGATAAACTGCCGTAATCTTCGTTAAATCTGCCAAGCTTCTTGTATCGAGTGCGGTTCTCATGAGTATCGACAATATCGTGCTCAGAACGAGAACTAGAAAGCTGGTATGATTCTGTGGTAGAGCTGTGAGCCCGGCAATTAGCCTCTTTGTCCTTGGCAGCGAGTCTCTGGCTGGTCACGACATCCATATTTAGTATATCACGTATACTTGGGAGCCGAACTATTGAATCGTCAGATTGTCTGCTTCTAGATGCAGGAAGACCGTGTCAACATCGTTGTATGGGGCTTGGGAGAAGTAGTCGTATGGCGCGTCCTTGGAAGAGAAACCATGATAACTGCTGCTGCTGTTGTTGAACGGGTTTGACAACTTACCGAATCGCCCAGACGGATCTCCTGTGGATGCACGCCCGTCCTTTTCCATGTAACTCACAGTCGCCGATGTGTCTGCCCGTGCGAGCTGAGCATGACCGAGAAAGGCACTGAAGTCGTCGTTATCGTCGTCTACGCCATCAAAATGTCGTACTGGATTGGGTTGGTGGGCTTCCTCCTGGTTGCGCATTATTTCCAATTTTTGAATAAATTGCTGCGGATTGGGTCCTTGCCGGTCCACGACACTGTTTGCTCTGGCCAATGTAACGGCCTTCAGACCGTCGCGAGAGTCTCGTGCAATGATCAGTTCAAGCCTCTTGATATCTGCCCTATATCCCTCTTCACGTTTAGCCCACTCGTCTCTAACTGCTTGTAAGTCCTGGTTCATTCGGGTGTATTTCAGCTGCGCCTCTTCGCGAGCGCTGTTGGCAGTGTTGATTTTGGCCTGCATGCCTCGGAAAGCCTCAATGAGGTGCAGCACATAGGCATTGTGCTCGAGGGGAATGGGTGCGTCGGCGCGCCTTGACATCATGGAAACTTGCAACGACTCGAGCATCTGCAGTGTCGACGGACGGTGCCATACTCTATCGGCGTCGTTAACGAGGAGATCTGCCTCGGCTGTCCTCGTTGATGGGGCCGCCGTGTCCAGCGACAAAGGGAAGAGACTGCCAAGGCTCAAGAGGCTGGTAGTACGACTGGGACCAGGTCTGCGATTGTCTTCTGAATCCAGAGTACCGCTATGGTGAGAGGATGGTGGCGAGCTCGGCGACCTTGAAGACGAGTTGTCTCGAGGACGCTGCCCAAAAGGCAGCCACGGACGATCTGACATGGCGATGATGCGATAATTAGACAAGTTGGGGATTTGTGAGCCACGAAATGGAAGAGAAAAAAAAAAGAGATCGTCTCGGACAGGGAATACAATGACAAGAGAAGTGAAGAATGCTGACAAACGGGAGAGTTGGGTGATGATGATGTCTTTGTTGTTGTCTTGGAGAGTTTCCAGAACTGGTCGTGGCCGCAAACGCAAGTTATTTGTTTGTTGTTGCATGAGAAACGAATGGACATGTAAAGAGCAACCGCGCAGGGTCACGACTACGCGGTTCTCGCAGAGACATCGCTGGTCAGGTCACCCGCCTCTATTAACATGAGGGGGAAAGAGAAAAGGGGTTGAAACTGGCCATTGCGAGTTTCTGTCGTCGCGCATTGCTAAATTACGTACAATATCTACTACCCCATGCACTGCGACTCTCGAGATAAATATACTGGCATTCGAGGATACATCTCAAAACCTCAGACTAGCTCCTGTGCAGGGCAGGGTCAACTGGAGTATTCTCATGTACAATATACCTCCCATTACCCTAAGCAGCTACATAGCGGCACCAAGAGCGATAGCCCTGCAAACCTGTCGACGTGTTGCTGGGTTCTAATATGCCAGAGACGAATCAAGAGGAAGGGCGCGGCTGTTCGAGGTCAGAAACAGAGCGCACATTTTACTATTGCGGCGTGATGAGACCCCAATCTATCTCCTGTCGCGCACTGGTTGGTCCGGTGTTAGGGTGAGTGAGAGGGAATTCATCCAGGCTATGAGAGCCAGCTATTGAAAATCACCCCGTGCACCTCTGAGTTGGGGGCCTCCATTCTAGGTCTAATCCGGCGAACACTCTCTTCTCCGCCGCCAACAGGTCAGGAGCAGGCCGCCCCTCGTGGCTCTCGAGGTCTAGCCAATGTCCATCGGCGCGACTGCGGATGCCACTGCTATCAAACTTGAGACCTTTCACCGTCTTACAGTATCGCCTGAGATCTCGTTGAAAGGTAGTGCCGCCACTCCAGCCGATGACAGCACAGCCAACCGTCTTCCATGGACTAATGATGATGTCCACCCGCCTGTGCGGGTTCGGGTTCCTTGCAAACTTTTCCTTGTCCCAGTGAGGATCCTGCCAAACCACCAGGGCCTTATCCAAGGTGTCAAACCCGGATCCTGCCTTCCTGTCCCCTCCCTTCCAGGCCAACGGGGCTTGGCCACGTTCCGAGTTCTTCGTGCTGAGCGTCAAAGTATGGGTGATGAAATTGTCCTTTTCCAAGCTCATGACAAGCTCTTCAACAAAGTAGTGCGTCGCCTCGGAATCTGGATGACTAAGGACGACATCAACATCGCCACTTGCTTCCTTTCCTCTTCTGTAGCCACCGACGATAACCATTTGAAAGCCCTCGCGCCTGCTGTTTGCGCGCTCCAGAATGGTATTTGCAATAGCTTCTACCTCTGCCCGGGGTATCTTTGATAGGAACTCATCGTAATACTTGACTCCAATCTGCTGCACTCGTGATAAGCTGTCCCAGCCAAACTCGACAATATCATCGAGGTCTCGCCAGCCCTTGTTATAAAACTCGCGAGCAGTTGTCTCTGCAACGCCCCAAATTTCATAGAAAAGTGAAAGAGTCCCTAGGTAATGATCACGAGCAGCTTTATCAACCTCCTCGACCCGACCCGAGTCATTCCATTCTCGGAATAACACTGCAATCTTGGGACCGCAGCCGGGTAGCCTCGATACTTCTAAGACACTTGTGAGCTTTGGATAGTGTTTCTATGGGTCATGTATTGTTACCGTGAGCGCCTCTTAATACGTATGGATATGCAGCCAGTGACGCGATGGATGACGAATAGGCACGGACGCCGACCTTATCGCCCGTAAGTGCTCGTATCGTCCGCACCTTCTTCAACTGGTCAATGAAGGCCTCATTCGGTGGATTGAACGGTGTCGGGCGTTGACAGGAATAAATTGTGTTTAGGTAATCAGGGATTGGCGGAAGGTCGTGTTCATACTCGTGCTCAGATGTCGTTTCATGCAGTAACGCCGGCCGCTTTGGGGCAAGCAGAGCCTTGGAAACTGTAGAAGAGCTGCCCACGAAGCCGCTACGGGCAGATGACGACAATCTAGGGGTACTGTTGCCATCTTCCTTTGCCCGACTGACTATTTCCTCAGGATTCTGGATTACTGGCCTTGAAGAAGAAGTGGTAGTTTCCGAAGTCTTTCTCTGGCCTTGGTAGATGATATAATCCTGTAGTGGCAGAACTTGTCTCTTGCTTACGGAATCAGTGAACCAGGAGAGATGCACCACCTTGATGGCGTTTTTCGATGCGACGCACGAAGTACTTGGCCTGCCGGGAGGCTGTACGTTGGGCTTCTCCGGACCCGCGTCATCCTCGTTTTCGGAAGCAGTACTGCCGGAGTCGTCGTGCTTCTGGGTGGGTGGTACGGGCGACGACACTTTGCGTCGCTTAGCCGGTGGAGATGAGCTCCGGGTGGCATTTGCAACAACTTCAGTGGAAATGATGCCGCGCTTTCGAAGCTCAAACATTGCCCGCTCCTTCTTGGATATCTTTCCCAGGATAATCTCAGCCTCTTGTATGTCAAAGGTCAAGGTCGGGATCTGGCTTTCAAGCTGCGGGATGACGTCTGGCTCTATGTGGGTGGCGAGCAGATAGATTGGAGGCATCTGGAGTTCGGCCATGGCAACTACCCGTTTGCACCCCAGCACGATGGAGGAATTACCATGAATCCAAAGTGCTGTAAAGAACAATTTTCACAATGTACAAAGCAGCGGACGTAAAAATCCACAGCCGCGCTCATCCAGCACTAGATAGCTGGGGACAAATTCCGTATGATAAATGCCGGTGGCGCACATGAACGTGTCTTGCCGCCCGAGGAGCGTCTCTGACCTGGCGATGCCCTCTGCCGGTGCTGTATTGCCTGAGATGCGAGTGAATCCGGACCTTGTGATGTCACGTGCAGACAAGTTTCTGCCAAATTCCGGTGGCCTTCAAGCAATTTCTGGAGGGGTAAAGCACGCAGCTGATTTCTGTTCATGGGGCCATTGCCACCACTAGATTGCGACTTGTTTTTTTGTGGTTTCTAGCCTTGAAGAGGTGCGAAGATGTCTCGGCCCTACGAGATGTATGTACATACGTAGTGCAGTTTGGCGCATGTAAATGAAGTATCCAGCATGTGTATGGATATGATTATTATCACAATATGTCGCATAAATTTCAAGTGCCTTTCAGTCTTCTCCTTGCCCCGAAACTTGGTGTAACACTTGAACCTAGTAGCGATTAATTCGACATCTAGATGTCCTGAGAAAGTTGTGGCCAAATGACGACTTCAAATGTAGCTGGAATGCTGGCATCATTCAACCTAATCGCAGCGACTCCACAACTCCCATGTGCCAGTTGTGCTAGCCCGTGTCCCCTGCCCAAGTTGCCTGCCAACCCGCCCGCCTGCCTTGGCTGGTTGACCCACATTTCATCCGCTTAGGTAACTACCTGTGCTTCCAACTGATTTCCCAGGCTGCATTCCTTCTAAGAAGCGACTGACTCTTGACGTCCAATGTTCCGTGAGAGTCGACGCCGCCTGCCGAACAAAAACTTGCGTCACGCGCCCTGATACTCATTCGTCGCAAAGCTGTGGCGCTTGGTCCTGCAGCTGAACGTGCAGTCAGTAAACGTTTGTAAACACGTCACGCCAGAACCTGGGTGCTGTCAATCATGGGCAGGTGATAAGCAAGACCAGTGCTCAATAAGAATCGGCTTGGACTTGCTTCACAGCATTGGTCTCGGTGAAATAAGACCTCTTTTGTCTAGAGAAGACAATGGGCCGACAGTCTACCTATAACCTTGATGAAATTGAGAACCTGTAAGGTCAAGCCTTCCCGTGGTTGGCTCACCACAAAAAGCTTTCCCCGAATCAAACGACAAAAGCATATATTTCGTCCCTACCTACCAGGGCTCATTCTTTACCTCGACAAATCAGTGGAACACTGCACCTCGAAAACAAGCATTGGAATTATTACACTCCCTCAACAGTCTTGAGACTCATCGCTATGGATTTGGCGCAGACTCTTGTGCGATCGGTGGTTCGCGCCTTTTACGATCCGCGCGAGGTAGACACGAGGCACATTGTAATTGTTGATGCCCTCATCACTCATTCAGCACTACGAGATGACGATCTATCCTATCTGATGGCGCAGAACACCAAGGATATGACCAAGATTTGTGCAAATCTCCAGGCTGACCGTTTCATTCACCAACATGTTCGCGCTGAGCTGCGCGAGGGCCAGCAGAAAGCAACATCTCGCAAATACTACTACATCGACTACCGGCAGGCCATTGATGCCATTAAATGGAGGGTCTATCACCTGGACAAGTCTGTACAGGGCAACGCGGTTCCAGCTGCAGAGAAGAAAGAGTACTTCTGCACTCTCTGCAAGTCTGACTGGACCGCCATGGAAGTCCTCGATAATAGCAGCGAAAAAGGTTTCTTATGCCACCGGTGTGGAAGCGTGCTCATCCACGACCCAGAACGACAGTCGGGTGGCCACGAGCAGTCAACTCGTTTGAACAATCAGCTCAAATTCATCACCGATCTCCTCCAGCAGCTGGACTGCGTCGAGATCCCCAACAACACCTTTGAAACAGCCCTCGAGGCAGCCAGACCCGTCGTTCGAGATGCCACTAACCAAGTCGCACCCTCAGTTGTGGTGGAATCAACGGACAAGCCGACTGCTGTGCGTGGCATGGCTGATACTGGCCCTAAGAGCATTGCCATTAGCATTACCGCCACCAATGGCCCTAGTGATGCCGAAAAGGACGCCGAAAAAGTCAGGAAGGAAAAGATTGCCCAACAGAATGCTCTGCCCTCTTGGCATACCTCTAGCACAGTCACGGGCATTTCGTACGACGCTACCGAGAACACGAGTCTTGTAGGCAAGACGGAAGAGGAAAAGAAGCCCGACTTGGATTCTATCGACTCAAAGGAAGATACCGCTGCCTCGCAAGCGTACTGGGCCAAATTGGCAGAAGAAGCCGAGGCTGAGCGCAAGGCTGCGGAGGAAGACGAAGGCGATGAGGATGACGAGGACGAGGACGAAGACTTTGAAGACGCCATACCGGCCAGCGTAAACACGAGCTTCGCGGGAGAGAAACGAGTGGTGTCAAGTGGCGACACAAGTGCTGCTGAAACACCCGCCTCGGAGGACAGACCGGCCAAAAAGGTCAAGGTCGAAGAGCCCGCAGATGACGCTGATAGCGATGAGGAGGATGTTGCATTCGAGGATGTTTGAAGTGGGCATTTGTCCTGTGGTTTTACGGCGATATACTCGCGAGCTAATGGTAATCCCATTGACGTCCGGGATTCATTGCATACCTATGGCTGAGAGCAAGATTATTTATTCCAGAGCATCTTAGTCTCTAGAGGCCATGACATGTACTGAGATCACCAAGTGCCAGCAATTCTACACGATGGCATCAATTGATTCATATCTATATCCACGTTTGCAAAGTTAGCAATCGGAATTTGTTTGGCGGCTGGCTGTATTAGGCCGAGAAGGTCGGCACTAAAGCATATTTTGGTCAAATTCAATGCAATGACAGTGAGTTCCGTCTCGTTGAAACGTGGCACAAATGAGGCAGGCACCAGTTAACTCGACCGCAATCCACGATGCTACTCCCTTATTAACGTAGGTAGAACATGGTGTTCGGCCAGTTTTTGTTGCAATGTGCGGCGTTCGGAGCGACGTCAGCCCGTGGTCGGATGAAACGGACTGCTATCATGATGCCGCTAAAGAAAAGTCACCGAGAATCTAGACACGTCTCATGATTCTGGCAAACAATCTCTCCCGGTAATGATGTTCCTGACTATGGAAATTAGTCAGCGCCGGTCCACGAAGACCTAAGAATTGTACGGTCTTTTATGTAGCTGCGTGGTCCGACGGACTCTGAGTATTCGATTGCGCTGGTGTTGGTTGCACTTCTTGGAGGAGTGGGCTCGGCATGGAGTGGGTAGGTACATGATTAGCGAGGAAGCTCCTGGATATGGCCAGAATCCAAGCTCTGGCGGCGTACCATCGTGTCTGTTGCAGCTTCGAAACGGATCTCCGTGCGTCGTGCTGCTTCTGCTTTTGCGTTCCGAGTACTACGAGAGAAGGGGGGTCTGGCAGTAAACCCCCTTTTATTTTGTTCCGATCCCCAGCCTCGTCCGCTTAGCGGAGGTTAGGTAGATGGCATTGAATGTGTGTAGAGGCTAGGTGAGGTAGGTTAGGCACAACCTACTTTACGTAGCAGGTATTTAAGCACTACAAGTGCCGGAGGAGAATACCTTCCGAATCCCTTCCCTTGATTTCTGTACAAAAAGTCCAAGCTTTGCTGTTCATTTCGTGGCATTCAGAAATACTCAATTGGCCGATTTCCGTACCCTACACCACATCTCAGTTGTTTCGCATCATAAGAAATTCTTCGCAACATCAAAATGCCTTTCGCCCTGGAGCTTCCTAGCGAGTACGGGTGAGTACAACCTTCCTAGGTAGCTGTCGCGATACCAGCCCAGTATAACGCAACCGCAACGCAAACCAATCGCAGTTGGGATTGGTGCTGACAACGCCAACCATCCCGGACCGAGTCCAGCGTGTCGGGTCCTCTCTGCATCATTGCTTCCCACAGACTGTGCCTTGTGGTGTATATTACATAACCCAACTCCGGACAAGCTGGCTGACCCTGGCAATTCTACCAGTTATGTCCTGACCGTCGCGTCGGCTTCGTTCTTCGTCAACCTGTACCACTCCACGCTTACGTCGCTGGCCCGCCGAGACAGCGGCCTCAAGTACCCGATCCCCTACGCGACCGAGGAGCAGGCCGCCAAGAGCCCGGCCGCCTACAAATTTAATTGCGCACAGCGGGCGCATGGCAACTTTGTCGAGAACTTTGGGCCCTTCCTCGGCGCGCTCCTGATCTCAGGCTTACGCTTCCCGACAGTGGGTGCTGCTGTCGGTGCCGCATGGGTTTTTGGTCGTGCTCTGTACGCCCGCGGCTACGTTGCTCAAGGTCCGCCTGGGCGCATGATGGGTTTCGGTATCTTCCTGCTGAGTGATGTTGCCCTCAAGGTCATGTCGGTTTGGACTGGTGTGCAAATGATTCTTGAATCCCGCGCATAGGCGTCATTCAGCCTCGAGCTATATCAGTAGCGATCCGATGCATTGTGTACATTAGAGCCTCTTACGAGTCTGCTTGTGAGAAGGAACAAAAAAAGTATTAAAAAGTGCCTTGTGAATGGTCACACGGAGTATGTCGACCACTCTTTAATAACGGTCATAATGAGAACATATATTCAAGCCCCATTAACTGCTGAGCTGTAACAAAGTGATTTGCCAGGCATAGAGGCGTCCAGAGCCAGCCGTACCTGATTTTGGCATCTGAAATGTCGTACAGCATCAAGAATGCCTGCTGGTAAGCTACATGTTCGTGAGGTACGTAGGTAAGGTATGCAAGAGCGCATAATTACTGAACAACTTGAGCATTTAGGCTCTGCGAGCACCACGTCAGGAGTTTGTTTGGCTGATTACCTATTTACATTATCCACGGCCAAATTTTGACGCTGTTCTAACCACGGTACTGTTCCAAACAGTACCTATTGCAATATCCCGCCTACCGTATGCAGTCTTTGCTCGTTCCTCAATGGAATATATGTAACTCGAGCCAAAATGTATCAAGTGTCTCAGCCTTCCATGGTCCATGTTGCACCAACATACCACAGGCTTGACAGGGTACCTGGCAGTGCAAGCAGGCAGCCGCTAACATTTGCAGCTAGGCGATTTTCTTGGGTAAGGTAGGCTAAGATAAGCAAAACAACCCGTATCTCTGGCGGTGCCTGGCTATGTGGTACACTACATTATTTCGTGCCCGCCAGGCAGCATCATAAGAGAAATTGTACCCGAGCTGCCGACTTATCTTCGGTTCCGCTCAACGCAGAAGACCGCACACCTCGTGTCATTTGTATGTCGCATGCGCTACACAACGGGATGTTTCATCCATCTCTAGCCATCGACATCTCAAGCAAATAAGGCAATCGGCAACTTCGGATACTCGCTCGTATTGCAGTCGCACACAATGCGTTCCTCGCTCTTCCTGTCATATCTCTTAGCCGCCTGCGTCCCGCCAAACTCACCTGTCGTTGCTCATGCTTTGCCGCCCCAACATGGCGACTCAAGCCCGTTTGCTCCTCGAGCCTCGACGACCTCGGTGAAAGGAAGCTGGCTCAACGTCTGGCCATTGAGTCTTATCCGCACAACATTGACCGACGATGACGTGATACCCTTGAAGCCCAACTACGATCGTCAGGTAGTTCTACGCTTCAATGTCTCTACCTATGAGCACGAAGCCGCCTTTCGGCGGGCCGCCGACCAGATGTTGCTTGATATATGGGATTTTGGGCCGAGCTACACGGATATACGTATCCCAAAGAACCGCATCCGTGGCTTCTTAAACATGCTGCCCGAACCCATGCGCTCCGATCACATGGTGTTGATTCAAGACCTCGCCCGTGCCGTCGCCGCTACGTATCCGGCTCCCAAGGATCGACATGATTTTGCGTCGGCCGTGCGCCAGGGTCAAACACCAGCAGATACAAGGAACCGCGGACAGGGTGTCAATGACTTGTTTAAAAAGCACCAGATGGACGATCTGTTCTTCAAGGACTACCAGCCACTCGAGACTATCTCATCGTGGATGCAGTACTTTGCATCCATGTTCAAGTATCAAAAGGAGGGCCTGGTGAGCTTGATCAGCATCGGAAAATCCTTTGAGGGCCGAGACATTCCTGCCCTCCGGCTTGGTCTAGATACTCAGCGCCATCATACGAAGAAGTCGCCTCGAAAGACGATTCTCATCACGGGAGGAATGCACGCGCGCGAATGGATATCCGTCAGCACCGTCAACTACTTGGCCAATATGTTTGCCTCCAAGATTGGCAAGGATGATGTTGTTGATGCCATGCTCAAACATTTCGATCTCGTCTTTGTCCCCGTCCTAAACCCGGATGGTTACGAATATACGTGGACGGTAGACAGGCTCTGGCGCAAGTCGAGACAGATCACCACCATGAGATACTGCCATGGCTATGACCTCGATCACTCATTTGGCTATGGCTGGAATGCTGTTGAGCACCAGAGCGATCCATGCTCGGAAAGTTACGGTGGCAACGAGCCGTTCCAGGCTGTTGAGGCCAGTCAGCTGGCTCGGTGGGCAGCAAATGAGACAAACCACAACGTGGATTTTGTTGCTTACATCGACTTGCATTCGTACTCGCAACAGATCTTGTGGCCTTACGCTTACTCCTGCGATGCAAAGGTGCCGAATCTGGAGAACATGCAAGAGGTTGCCATGAATATAGCAAAGTACATGAGACTTTTGGGTACAGGCGAATACTACAGCGTCGGCTCGGCGTGCGAAAGCGCCGTGTCCGGCAGCGCACCGACGGAGGAGGGTATGGAGAGCGTTCAGAACCGTCGAATCGAGGCGGCTGGTGGTGCAGCCATAGATTACTTCCATCATGACCTCAAAGCCCGATATAGCTTCCAGATCAAGCTACGAGATACCGGCAGCTACGGCTTCCTTCTCCCCCGCGATAACATTGTTCCTGTTGGCGACGAGGTGTTTGAGGCTGTCAGATTTCTTGGAGACTACATGCTTGGAAACAATGGCATAGAGATGGTGCCAGACGCGAACGAGGGCCAGCAGCAAACCATGCCGAGCGAATCCGAGCCTTCAGGCTTCGAACTCAGACGACGTAAGAGGAGGTAGTCGAGTTAAGGGGCCAAAGAGAGCCGGCGTGCTGCCTACAAATTTCCAAAAATACCTGCCGAGTTTGAGATCGAAACCATGTGGTGTTTTGTTTGTTTGATTCCCTTGATGAGCATGGAGTTATGGAGTCAAGGAAATCATGGGTCCTTGTTTTTCTTTTTCTTTTTCGAGACATCAGCTTCTTGGTTGGATCTGGAAGCCTTCGCTCAGTGCAAGTTGGCAGTTTTTCCAGTCATTTATGGGGGTGTCAGCATGGTCCGTTGGCGACCGTAAGTATCTATGTGGCTGTTGCTTTGCACAGCGAAAAAGCCAAACGCTTGTCGTATCATTCTATACAAGCATTGCTTAAATGGACCGTTGTATAGTTCTGTCATATTGGCGGTGACCAAATTTAAATGCCAACGTCCTTCTGTCGCCACCTACGTACTAAATACGGTTGCTCAGCCAGGGCAAGAAAATGAAGATAATGACCCAAGGCCATTGCAGCTGAAAAACCTTCTGTTGAGCGTACGAGTCGCACGGCACAAAACTACTCACGGCAAGGGGTTCCGGTTGACCCGTACGGAGTACTTTATTATTAGGCGTGCACGGTGGTTTTCTTCATCCCAACTCTTGCAAGCTTCATAGATTACCGGGACTCCATAACCCCACTTACATCAACCCGGGAAGTACCTTTGATTCAACGAGTGTGGAAGGGAAGGGCAAACGGCAGGAAATCCGTGTGTGGGTATAAGCTCTTGGAAAGGCGACGACAACTACATTTGCCCAGCGGTTGGTCAACAAGACTACCAAGCAGAAGTTTGAACGAAGCGTGACGGAATTTGGTGTACTGTGTACAGTAGGTCCTATATTCCGGCGAGTTGTGGTTCTTAACCATCGGATACCGACTTAGTTCAATACCTGCCCACCCATGTCAGAGTGGCTCGCGACGAGGCAATCTTACGTTGGCAGGTGTAGTTTATCGGGCTCTACGGTATGGTCAACTATTCACGGGCCACCTGAAGGAATCTGAGTGGCTGGGCGAGCAACATTGCATGCCAATTCCATCTCACAAGATTACGACCAGGGCAAGCAATAGTGAGATACAAAGGAACAGAAAAGAGTGTCGGTGAAGGGGGAGTGGTCAAGAAGCAAATAATAATAATAAGGAAACGAGAAGGATGTGTATGCCCAAAGGGAAAAAAAAACACGAGGAAGAAGAGCAGAGCAAGATCTACGAAGTATTTCACCTACAGTGGACATGCGGACCTAGATAGATTCTAGAATGAATGGATTGGGGCTTCTGTCCTTACATAAACCTTGGCAGTGCATATGCGGGCGGAGTGGTCTCGAAACATTGGGCGCCTGTCGTTGACCCCGTTTTCCGTCGACGACATTGTCAATCTTGACCATCAGCATCTCGAGCATATGGCAGATCTCCATAGTGTGCATTACAAAGTGGAACCTTTGATGCTCGCGTGCGTAGGATTACACCTGGACCCTCTACACTGGAGTTTTCTGGCTTATTGACGTAGCCCTTGCCTACTTCCAACCATAGTTACGTTCATATATGCATTTGAGGAAACACAGTAGAAGAACTCTGGATCAGTTTGCGGCGTCTGTACTTGCCGACGATGCCGAATCTAAGGTGTATGATTTTGTCAAAATTGCACTTGTAGCAGATACCTAGACTGACGGTAAAGATGGAGAGAAAGAGAGAAAACGCACAGAAAGAGGATGAGGGCTATTTCAACCAACCCCGGCTATGAGTATTATCTGGCAAAAAGAATCACAGGCCCGTTCTAATCCAGCCTCAGACCAGCATACCTACTTTGATATATGTATATAATAGCATGTACCATGCATGACCTTACCTAGGTACGCACACGGCACACGGCGCAACACAACATTAAAAAAGCAGAGCACAGCGCAGCATACATTCATTCCCACATCCATTTGCTCATCTAGAGCCTGGAGCCCAATTGCAGCCCCGCCGCAGTCGCCATTCTGCAGTGATTTTATTTTATTCTATCTCATTTCCTTCCCAAGTCTCCAGGTGCAACGATCGCGCCACGGCCACGGCTTGCCCATGAAGGGCGAGACAAACTCCACACCCACTTTCTGGGCTACCAACCTACACAGTAGACACGCAGCAGCTAATAAGGCATACGTACTAATGTCACACAGCTAGGCAATGCCCAAGAAGACACATGGAAGCTGATGCTTGAGCACCTCAATGATTTACTTCGGAAACTGTTGAGATGGTTCAATTTGGGCCGGCTCAGATAAAATACCTCCTAGGTAGATAGGTAAGCAGGTAGGTAATCAAGTGGTTGACATGCAGTGAGCAGCTTTGAAAGACGATTGCGTGTAAGGGGTCTGTCTCTGAACTTGTATTATGTACTTCCAACGATGCTGGCTGCTTTTGGGTAAATTTAGTGGAGCGGAGTGGAGGGAAGGGAAACTGGTGAGCCCAGTAGGGGAGGTCCACGGAAGTAAAGGCAACGAGAAGCACTGTAATCCCAAGTGAGGGCCAGACAATGTTCCCTGGATTCAAACTAAGCTGCATCGAGACCACGGCCATACCTACATTAGGTACAGAGGCAGGCAGGCAGGTTGGTAGGTAGGTAACATGTAGTAGGTAGAAGAACATTTGATCCAATGCGCTTCGATCAGTGTGCATTCAATCAAACCCATTCAACTTGCTCGCTCGCATTTTCCTTGCCTTCGTTTGTTCGTTCGTTCATTCGTTCTATCGGTTGATCAAATCAAATCCCAATGTCCGTCCCTGAGTGACCAATCCCTGGTATCACCCGACAACATACCGTGTTTCCTTATTCTGTGTCTTTTTGCAGCGCATCGCCTGCTGCCATTGCGCTGACCGTCTCCCCCTTCCTCTCCCTCACTCTTCCACCCTCGCCGTCTCACAGCCGGTCCGTCACGTCCAGTTTTGTCCTACTGTATTCTCGCACAATTGCCCCTGTCCTGTTTTATCGCTGCCGCTCCCCGGCTCCAGCGCAAACAGATTTTTTTCGAATCGCATCGCGTCGCCCACCTCCCATCCTGTCCCTGACATCCTGACGTTACTTTTGATTTGGCGGCCAAGCGAAGGGAGAGGCGGCCAAGCGAAAACCATGGGGCCATTGGGCTCGTAGAATCTGACGTAACGACCACCAGCATTGTAAGCTGCTGCTCGTCCGTCAAACAATCCAGAAAACGCCCCACCTACGGCGAACGCAACGACGACGACGACGACGACGACGACGACGATCCCGAAGACCCTGACCACCTCCCTATACGACCCATCTGGTCCCATCTCCCAGTCTCGACAACCCCCCTTGAGTTTTCGACATGCCGTTCCTGCGCCGTCGCGGCGTCATGGCTAGCGAAAATGACATGCGACGACATACCTTTATTGAACCCGACCCCCCGTCTCAGTCGGGTCTGGCTCCTTTCAAGCCCAAGCCATCAGCTCCGCGCAAGTCGCTTGGCAACGATCTTCTCGATCCCAACGCAGCAGCAAATGGCCACAGACGGACTTCGGTCGACAGCTTCACAGCCGCAAACGGCGCCACCGATCCAGTCAATGGGGAGAGAAGCAGGACAGATGACACCACCAACGACGAGAACAACTCGTTCGAATCAAATATGCCTTCGCTATCTACGTCCATGTCCATCGGCCGTCCGAGTGAAGACCCATTCGACCGTCCAGAATCCCCGCCGATCCAGGAGGAAACACCCAAGCACCGTCGTTTCTCCATGTTGAGGTTCCGGAATGCATCTGACTCGCAACTGTCCTTGCGGATGAGGCAACAACAGCTGGCCGAGAAGCCGCCGCCATTACCAACACAGCGTATGTTCTCTCCTTTACATGGTCGCTCTTGCTACAGGGTGAGACTTCTACAGCCGGCTTGATTCACTGACATGTAGTGCAACAACGACAGCCCCTGCAATAATCACAACTGCTCCCACCATCGATTCCAGCAAGAGTCCCAAGAAGTCTCGTATGAAGCTCCCAATCAAGATTCGTCGTTCCGGCGAATTGCCAAGACCCAGCCAGGATGGAGGCCACTTGGGCGTTGGTCTTGGCAAGAAGGATAGGAGAAAATCCATGGCCGGTGTAGTGGAAGAGGTTCTAGAAGCCCGTAACAAACAAAATGTGTCGTTTCAAGACTCCCGGCCGCGACCATATAGCTCGAAGTCACACCCAGGACCACGCAACACCGACCAAGGAAATTCTGCACTATCTTTACCTGCAAATCGCCTCTCTGAGTCAGAGAGGTCCGAGGCTAGCTCGGGGGAACACAGTGGTGGCTTTGGCAATACGGCTCCTGTGACGAATACCAGCTCGACAAGCAGCAACATATTTCGCCTCGGCCGCCGGAAACACAAACAGCCAGAACCAATGTTTCCTCTGGCACATCTCCCACAGCAGCGGAAGAATTCTACCTTACAGCCCACAATATCGAACACGTCCTTGAGTAATGTGCCAGCTACAAGCACGCAACGACCTTCAACAGGCAATGGACGTTACACTCCCGTCGCATCGCCCTCGTTCGGCTCGTCAAGCAGAGCTCCCGGATCACCTGCTACGGCCCTGTTTCGCCCCGGGTCACGGAACTCGGGCCAGGGCTCGCCAACGCGAGCTCAACTTGGTTTGCGAGAGAGATCATCCACAATGAGTTCCTTGGGCAGGAACTCAGAGGATCATCCGTTCCCCGGAACTGCACGTACTTCAACCTCAATTGGTCGTAAAAGCTTTGGTGATCTTTTGGGACTCGGTCGATTGCGCAACAATCCTGATCTTGGCCGCCCTGGCAATTTGACTCCAGCCACACCAGGGTCGCTCACATCAAAAAACAACTCGCTACAACTTCCGAGAGAACGAGAATCGGTTGTGCTACCAGAGCGGCGCGAAGACGATACCCCAGCCAAATACCTCGCGCGTCTGGAAGACGTACTGAACCGCGGAGTGATCGCCAGCGCACTATCCAAGGGATCAGACCCTTGGTCTGCCTCCGTACTACGGAGTTACATGCGGACGTTTGGGTTTTTTGAGCAGCCCATGGACATGGCCATAAGAAAGCTACTTATGGAAGCCGAATTGCCCAAAGAGACACAGCAAATTGATAGGTGCCTGCAAGCTTTTGCGAATAGATACCACGAGTGCAACCCAGGAATCTACTCAAGCCCCGACCAAGCCTATTTCGTGGCATTCTCGCTTCTCATTCTGCATACCGACGTATTCAACAGGAACAACAAGTACAAGATGCAGAAGGCGGATTACCTCAAGAATACCCGAGGCGAGGGGATATTTGATGACGTACTTGAGTGTTTCTACGATAACATTACGTATACCCCCTTCATTCATGTCGAGGATGACTTTGACATCAACGGGGATCCAGTAGCCGGCAACAAGACGAAAAAGAAGGTCATGTTTCCTAACGGTGCGACAGAGGCTCCGAAAAGAGCTAGAGACCCGATAGATCCATACACCCTAATTCTTGATGGCAAACTTGACACACTGAGGCCACCACTAAAGGATCAAATGCCACTGGAAGAGCACTACAACTACATCGGTACCGCCAAAGAGTTGAATATCAAAGAGCTCCAGAAGACTTTCTTCAAGACCGGTGTGTTACAAATCGTGTCGGCGCGGTCTAGGCCTGACGCGTTCATGACTGAAAAGACATTATCCAATCCTCAGGAAGCTGAACCTGGCATCGTGGACATCAAAGTCACCAAAGTGGGCACATTGTGGAGGAAAGACGCCAAGAAGAAGAAGACGAGATCGCCATGGCAAGAATGGGGTGCTATCCTGACCGGTGCGCAGCTTTACTTTTTCCGCAATACGGCCTGGGTCAAGAGTCTCGTCCACCAATACGAAACACATGTCAAGTCCGGCAACGACGGCATCCCCCTGATCTTCAAACCACCACTGGAGAGTTTCAAGCCAGACGCGCTTATGTCTACTGAGGGAGCGGTTGCACTATTTGACCAGTCATATAAGAAACACAAGAATGCGTTTGTCTATGTCCGCCATGGTGGCTTTGAAGAGGTCCTCCTCGCCCATGATGAGGATGATAGAAATGACTGGCTCGCAAAACTCAATTATGCCGCAGCCTTCAGGACTTCAGGTGTGCGTATGCGTGGCGTAGTCGGGGGGAACCTCGAAGGGCAGGGGCGCCGCGCAATTCGGAGATTGGACAGCAGCGAGGTGACGCAGGTGATTCAGACTCCAACAGGGGAGGTCAGCATCAACAGGAGTCGCATCGACCATCAAATGGCACATGACATCCTAGCTGCTCGTCGCTTCATGATGAGCGAGCGGATAGCCGAGGGCGAGGACAAGCTGCAAGCTGCGCAGAAGCAGCTGGATGATCAGCTGAGAAATGCCAGGCATTTACTTCTGCTGGCACCGATTCAGGAGAAAACTCGCGAACAAGTGCGAACAGGTGCTGCCAAGATCATTGCCCAGCTCAGGTGGTCCCGCACCGAGATCTGGCGCCTCAAATGCCATATGGACATTCTCCTCTTGGACCTGGAAGAGGATAAACACATCAATGGCGACCTTGAAGATTCCGAGCACGAACCTTCAGTAGCGTCTGACGGTCCATCACTAAAGCACAAAGAATCCTTAGCAAGCTCCCATAACACAATGCAGCAAAGTCCCCGCGCCCCCGCGCCCCTCTCGTTGGCGCTGGCTTCAGGAGATGTTGCCCAGAACGACGGAGAATCGCCCATGACCGAGGTCTTCCAAACGCCACCCACGAGTGCCACAACCCCAGTCTTCCCAAAACCGCAACCCACCCTAGGATCGACGCAGCCTCACAGCGAGACTACCAAGCCTAGAAAGGCATCGGTGTCGAGCGCGGCGTCCAGTGCAATGGCTGCGATGTCACCACCGAGGCAGATATCTAGCCCAGGCTCCGATCCTGAGAGAACGCCATACGATGAGCTCAATGAGGAAGACGCGAACGAACGACAGGTCCTTGAGCAAGCTGGATTGTTGGATACTCAGCTTTCCAGAACCTCAGACAGACCAGGATCCTCTAGGGGCGAGGATACGCCGGAGCGCCATAAGCGCAGTAGCATTTCTGCATCCGACAAGGATCGGACAGAACGCAGCAAGATACGACGGAGTCTCCAGAGGACTTTGCGAGAAAGTACTGGCCATCTTGCGCACCATCGTAGCAAGAAAGGTCACGACTCGGCTTCCAGTGGTGCCATCGCTGATGACATGGCTCGGGACGATGTACTTACCCGTGGTACAGGAAGCTTTACTTTGCACGGCAAGAAGGCATCTGTCGTCAACTTTGGCTCAGATTTGCAGGGCATGTCTTCCAACGAGCATATCCGCCAGCGGAAGCAACCCCTTTCGGAAGAGTTGACAACGTCGCCACTTAGCGCCGATGACGACGCGGAATCTATTCTCGGGGCCATGTCCTTGACGAAGGAAAGAAGAGAATCGGCTGCCAGTGCAAGCACTGCCACGGCTAGATCCTTCCGCGAGCTGCACCGGAAATACTCGTCGGCGCAGAATGCCCATCGGGTAGCCTCAGGTGGTCTGGTCGTGCCGTCTGATGATGATAGCGATGCCGCCGTCAGCTTCTCTGATGGTCGACGCACTCCTCTGCCACCAGTTGAAGATGGGTCTGGTGATGATGACGATTTGTCGGCACGGCGTGCGCGGGCGCAGTCAAAGCAATCCGTCTACTTCACGCCGGAACCACCAAGCTCGCCAGTGGAAGAAGTTTCCGAAGACGAGGACGAGGATGATGAAGAAGAAGCTGGTACGCAGCATGCACACGAACACGAACGGTTCAGTCCTCCGGCGCAAAGCGTCGGTGCTTGATCCATCTAATACACTGAAATTTCGAGCTATTCTCTCACCTTTCCCCACCATGTCGAGCGGTCTAGATCTGGTATGAAAAGCATTTAGCGATGGCATTTTAGTTTCCTTTTGGTTTCGAGAGCGTGCTTTCTTCCTGCTGCTGGGGGTCGATGGGACGGGACGGAACACAAAAAACAAAAATCGGGTGTACAGGACACATGCGGTCAGGGTAAAGAGTACCTTATACAAGCGAGGCGTCACCCTTTAGTAGGCCAACTTAAAACGATATCCATGTACATGTATATTTAACTATCTTGGCTGTCTTGGCTTGGTCATGGAATCAGATTCTTGATATAGTTGTTGGGGCCCTTTTCCCCCCTCCCCATAAGACTTATATCAACAACGAAGAATTCCAGACTTATAGGCACTCTTCATCCCACGGGTCATGCTACGAAAATTGTGACTTGAGTGTTTACGCGCCAAAGTAGGAAGATCTAGACTAGATTCAAGCCGTTGCATGAATTTAAAGATATTGTGTTGACCAACACCTAGGTTATTACCACATGGCTTCCTACACACTGTATCAGTGACAATATGCTGACTATGGCCTAATGGGGCATTGAACTAAATATATATAAAGAAGTGTATGCGCTCGGGTAATCCAGGAAGCACTGTAATATGCATCTAGTATGGTCATTTTGAGCCCCTTGAAAGAGGCATGCATAAGACACTCCCTATAAAGAGGCTCATCGACTCAATGTGTACTCAAAAGATACCTTCTGTAGCCTCCGAAGATGTCAAAAGACTACCGGACTCGAGGAGCTTGGTAGACTTCCCGAATAGCACCATCTTGCTGGTAAAGTTGGCAGGGTTTGCCTTGTCCCCTCGTGACGTTGTTGATTTACTTGACATGTGTAATATTCGGGTGTAGGTTTCCTTTCTCATGTGGATAGTGAGCCAGTTGTTGTTGAATGTAAACGAGAGTCGGAAAAGTCAAAACTATGGATGATGTCTTAGGGAACAGAGGATCGAGGAAGTGAATATATTGATACATATGACGCATCTTTAATGGCCGCTATATATCCTCCAAAGCCCAGAAAAGTGGAAAGGTGCGGCTTGCCTGTCTAGTATCAACAGACCACCAGCGACCAGCGAATACGCCCCATCCTCTGTACGGCCGTTGGCACATCGCTCATTTCTTCTTCTTATTCTTCTTCTTTCCGCCGCCTCCTGCTGCCTTCTCAACCTTGACGGCACCAGCACCGCCTACAAGCTCCAGGGTCTCCTGCTCCTTGACGACTCCGCCCTGGGTCGCCTCCTGGGCGCGCTTCTTGCCCTTCTTACCCTTGGGCCGGTACGTGCTGCGGTCCCGCAGAGGGAGCCAGCGTTCTGGGTCCGGCTCCTTGCCTTCCTCATAATCCTTGGGGAGCTTCTTCTTCCTGAACCTCTTGTGTGGTTTCTGAGGTTCAGCGTCGGCCGGTCGCTTTGTTCCCTGCGTCGAAGCTGTCGCTACTGATGCTACGCCAGCATTAATCAAGGCCTGGATGTCGGTACCGGATGTGAGCTTGTCCACCGGAGTCAGTTTGTTGAGGTAGGGCTCAATCTTGGCGTAGTCAGTAGTGGCAAAAGACGCGACGAGTCCTGCTGCTGCGATCGTGTCATTGGTGGGGTTCGCAGCCAGGTCCTCAAAGGTTGCACCTGCGAGCGCCAGATCCTCTGTGTTTGAGGATTTCAGCAGTTCAACACCTGCCTCTCGAAGCAGGGATGAAGGCGCATCGTCCTTGGCCCGCGACTTCCAGTGCGTAGCTGCCCTTGCCAGCTCGGTCCGCACCGAGTTTTGTCGCCCAAACAAGCGGTACACTGCCACGGTGACAGCGACTAGTCCGGGCGAGAACCGAACATCGTTATGATCAGGTGTGGTGGCCTGCTCGATCCGCTTCAAGAACGCCTCGAGCAGTCCAAGAGCCGGGCCGGGGTTCTTGGTCTGGACATAGAGTTGAATTATTGTTAGCAGGAGCCCAATGTCGGCAGGGCGCTTCTCGAGCATGGGCAGGATCTCCTTGATGGCGGCCTTTCCGGTATCAAGGTGGGCATGGGCGGCTGCATTGACCACGCCTAGGCCTGCGATCTCTGAAGAGGCCGTCGGCGTGGGCGTTTGTTGGATCTGCTTGTTGGTTGACTTGGCAACTCCGTCAAACTTTTGCATTTGTAGACTCAGGGCCAGTTGGTTCCTCCGCAGTATGGCTGCCTGATACCCGAAAAGCTTGTCATTTCCAGAGAGCTCTGAGGTCGATTCGAGCCAGCGCTGAGTGAGGTACGGATTCTGGGGTTCGGACGCTACGGCGGTCTGGTTATTTTGCGCAAGAACCCGCGACGAAGGTTCCGTGATCCTAGGGACGGTTCAGTCAAAAGGGAGCCACCGGCGCTGCTCGTGGCCATGACGGGTACTTACTCGGATAAGATCAGGGACTTCTGAAGAGCAATTGCGTCAGCCTCCTTGCCGAGTCTTGTAAGAACGTAGGCGTGCTGAATAAGGAGGGAAAAGAGCTCTGCCTTCTTCTCCTCTTCGGATAATTCCTCGCTCGCTTCACAGAGGTCTCTTGCTCGCTTTAGCAAAACGGACGCTTTGCTCAGGTCACCTCGTGCAACACAGCCGCAAGCAGCATTATAAGCTGTCTCGAAAGCCTCGAGATCTTCGCGCGAAGGCTGCTTGTGCTCCTCGTCGACCAAGTGGCCCAGGCCATTCCATTGGAGCTGCGCGCTCGTGGCGAGAGTATTGATGTTGAGGTCATTTTCCTCCCCGGGGATGCCATCGCCTTGTGTCGCCAGCTCACGGTAGACCTGGGCAGCGTCCCGGAACTTCTCGGCTCGATAGGCAATCTGGCCGGCGAGATGGCGAGATGTTCTGGTGGCGGGGCTAACCAATTTTATCGTCTCTTCGGCTTCGTTTAGCTTTCCAGATTTGTACAAGGCATATGCCTTTTCGACCAAGCACTCCTGCTCGAGCTTGTCGCCACCGTCGGCCAGAGCTCGGAGGGCATCGTCGAAGCGGTCGAGCTTGAGCAGGGCGACAACGCGGGTATGGTGGGCTTGAATGTTGGACTTGGAGGCCTTGATGGCAGCATTGGCAGCTTTGAGGATCTCGTCGTGGTCCTGAATCGAAGAGGCGCGCAACAGCGACGTGAGCGCTGCAGCTGGATCTGAGGACATGGCGGCGCTTTGGGGGGGGTTTTGGTGGGTGGGCGTCGCTGGTTATAATAACATGATCTCCTCGAACACGGAAACCAATCGACAAAGAGACTGCGGCTAGAGAGACTTTTGCAGCTTCTTGTTCCTCTAGGCTGCCTCCTGCCGTCACTTTGACTTGTATTCTAGGCCGTGTGTGTCGGTTGTGCTCCCAACGGGATGATGAGAGGGGCTCGTGTGAGTTGCTGCTGCTCTTCCTCTACGTGGATTGGGTACCTACTAAGCGGGCGATTGGATGATGGATGCATGGTGGGGCCTGTCTACCTTTTCACCCCACCAAAAAAAGCAGACCAAACCCACAAAAACTGGCATAGCTAGTAATTGTGAATTAGATCTTGTGTGTCGGTATTTCATGCCTACCACTACAACCTACTACCCAAGTCACACATGTGCTACTGTAGTATTAATAGTACATTCTTTCTATACCTCAACTGTGTATGTTAAACTGCAAACGAGGATCAAGCTATGTATCATCGTTGTTATATAGTGAATATGAAATTCCAGCTTAGACAACCAGATTGTTTAAATGTAATTAAGAAAGAAGAGCATATAACGGTGTACAAATTTCATTATTGCATATAGGAATTAATATACTCCAATCCCTCTACTGCAAACCGTTTTTTTTTTTTTTTCAAATAAAGGCCTATAACCAAAACTGAGTATACGAGTGGATTTTAATTATTTTAATTTTTGATCCGAGTCATATGTAAAATGTGGTTTTATCTTGAATCGGATGCTTGAAAAGAAGACGACCCGGTTGCTTCAAAATTGATCATGACCCAAGATTCGTCTCCAAAGTCCCTGCTTCTGCTTCTTCTTCGCAAGAGACTTATACGGTTGTAATGGATAGACCGGCCCATCGTAGGGAGAGGCAGGACAGCTTGTTTCCGAGCCTCTTCTGGTTCGATGACGATGACGACTGGGTATCTCGCCTAGTTTGGTGCTACCAGACGACCCTGAGGTGTAAGAGTTACGGCTTGGCCCTCGACGACTCGGAGTCTGCCTAGAAATTGTTGTGACCAGAGATGTAGTGCTATGGTCGCGTCCGTGATGTTCACTCGTGGTTTCTTTCGGATATTTTGCAGACCGGCCGCCTTCTCTCTGTGGCCTATGTGGCGATGAAGACAGCCGTTGCGACCCCGTAGTCTTGGCTCCTTCATTGTGCAATTCCCCTCTTGAGTCGACACGCCTGCTGTGTCTACTGTCATGACGCGAGGTATATGGCTTGGATCCGTGTTTCTGGCGTACAAGACTTGCAGAGCTCAGACGCTTAGACAGGTCGTCTATAGTCCTGATTGTATCGGCTCGAGACGAACTCGACAGTGACACTAGCGATCCGTAGTCCAACGCCGGGGTCTTCGCCTTTGATGGACTGAGAAGACTTTGAATGGCATTCTTCAACCTCTTCAGGATGCGCTGGAGTGTACTCTTGGCACAGGCTAGAACGGATCCAATCAGCTTCTTGTCCGACACATGAGGAGGTCCGCGATCATCATACAATCACCCTTCTCCAAGCGCGTTCCCCTTTTCGACAGTCTTGATGAGTATGCGCGGCGCACTTGTGAGCGATCAGATCTTATGGAACCTCGAAGCGACTGCACCTCGGAAAATGTAAGTCCGCTCGATTCAGCTCCGGAATGGTGATCTCCCAGCGCTTTCAACAAGCGAAGACATTTTGTATACGTCTCTATAAGCGCCGACACCCCTTTTCCAAAACTGGCCATCCCGAGCGCTTCTAGATTGAGGCTCAGTATAAAAAAGCTGGATGCTAAAGGTCAGATGTCGATGGTGATCACATTGTCCTTCACAAATATGTCTGTTTAGCAGAAAGAAAATGCCATGGGTAGCAAGCAGCAAAAGAGGATGAAAAAAAAAAAGGCAGTGCTCTATCTTTGCAGTTGGCGGGGTAAATCACAGATGTTGACGAAACAGTATTCTCGTGTCTCGCTTATGGTAAGTAGGTGGGTAAAGTACGGCGTGTAGCCGCCCGGTGAGACCATGAAAGTGATTCGTAAATGACCAATTGCGGCACCGGTAATTATATTCTCTGTATTTGGTACAGTATGCTTATGGGATGGATTCTCCTTTTCTTCTAGGCAGGGCTCTTTTCCTTCTTGTTTTAATCTCTTTGTTCCGACACTTCAAGTTTAGGTAGATTGGATAGTAACATTCTCACGTGTGTATCATGAAAAACAAGTGAACCATGAGGATATAAATTGCCACGAATTTCAAGTCTGGCTCATTTTTAACTATGGAAGAGAAAGAAAAAGGCCAGATGGCAACGTGGTGCATACATTTGCCTGAGTAGGTAAATGGTTTGTTTCTATTTGCAGAGCATTATCATCCGATGTCCACTCGTGGAACGCACGTGGGGTGACCAAGGTGAAGCGATTGCTAATCTCGCCGCTGGCCGCCGCGTGGGGGAACAATTGAGGCGCCCGAGACGATCTGGTTCTGGAGCGATCTGCGGCATGCAACTTGCCTTGCTTGTAGGTCTTCAGTGGTCAAATGAGTAGCTGATATCCCTTGCAAGTCAGGAACCATTTCCGTGGATCGGATCAGGAACCTTTGTTTCTTTTAATTATTTTCTTTTCTTGTGTTTCCGTTTAAACTTCAGCATTTGCCCGATATCGTCTACGTGACCTTTTGCGGAAAGACCACAAATAGACGTCCAACTAGGCTGAAGTACAGTCTGGTGCAGACATCGTGCTATCACTGCACTCTTCCTATTGGTGAACAAACAATCCATCCAGAAACAAATTCATCTCGGGCGTATCATTCTCTTTACGCAAATAGTCAACCCTCCGTCCCTCTTGCAGAAGTCTGAGGACACTTTCTCAATAGCCGTGGGGGTCGAGCCCTACGAAAAGCGTCAGGTTGAGTAAGATTCCGTTGGCGTGTGGTTACACCCGCTGCAGGGCAATACTTGTAGAGACTGGACGACAACGTACGATCTTGAAGACTTTCCTCCAAGGCATTGGTTCTTGGATTTCACATTGCAGTAGGACGTGGTGGGTTCGAGCTCAGCCTTCCAAGTAGATAAAGTCGAGTTCAAGTTGATAAGGAAACCCAACACGTACATGGAATTTTTTTTCTTCTCTTCGCAAGTCAGTACAAATGATCAACTGCCCTGCCTAGTCAGGCAAGTCCGATAGCCGGGTCAGGGAATTGTTCTAGGAACTTTACATGTTCTTGTTCTTATTTCCAAGACACCCAGTGTTGGAGACAATAAACGCGAATTCAATTGGTAGAGGCGCCCGCCAAATGTTCTGAAATTTGTCCGTAGGTACCAATTAGCTGTTGTGCACATGTATAGTATACTCGACACTAGTTTTGGCAATCATCCAAGTAGCCACAATCCTTACTTGGTGAACAGGTCTGTAGCTACGATTGGACAATGCCGGGCCTTCATAAGGATTGCTTCTTCGCGATAGCCGTGAAACACCAACTCGTGGGGGCAAAACTGAGATATCTCCATGGTGAAGACGATGTGGAGTGGACTTTCCGGGAGTCGAATAACAACACAGCCTCGTCGGGAAGCTTGAGTCTTTCCAACCCCCGATGTCATCAATGGACGAGTCGGTCTGAGTCGGTCTGACTCGTTTGCGCAGGTACGCAAGGCAAGTCTTATCTATAAACTTTGTATACAAGACCTCTTGTCTGTGTTGGAACTTGCATATATCGAATGATCCTTGCCTAGTTCATCGTCTACCTTGTATCTTCTGTCCGCCTTTCTAGCTCCCGAGAACCAAACCATGTAGCCCGGGCAAGTGCCGGGATATGTCATTTGGGGCCAAGCTGGCAATGCGCCTTATCTGAGTTCAGCTCGACTCATTGAATCACGGCTCACCGCAGCGAGAAAAAAAAAAAGTTGTGACCATGTAGCACAAGGAGGTTATCTAATCCCCCCTGGCGCTAAGACACGGATTGTGTGAGGTGATGATGGCCCTCCCTTAGGTCGCCGTTTATATAATTGGGGGCACTGCAATGAGCGAATACACAGCGCGAATGGCGCAAGAAGGAGGATGACACAGTCGGTCTGGCGGCGGCACACTGTACACATGTAACATTTTGAAGGGCCCAGATCAATGTTCCTCTCCTCCAACTGCGTGGGGGTTTAGTGCACAGACTGGAGGTAGGTACATTGGCAGTCCCAGCGAGCAACGTAGCTTTCGAGTTGTTGTAAAGGACGATGGATTGATCGGATGTTCAAATTTGCAAGATCTTTGACTTGATAAGCAAAAGAGATGGATTACTGGAGATGCTGTTTCCTGACTTCGGCACTGCAGAGATGCTGCTGTCAATTTTTTTTTTTGCATAGATATTCACCGTTTTCACATGCTTCTTAGTCGCGAACCATGTCCAAAAGACTGTTGGCTCCAGAGGACAAATAAGCTTTCCGTGACTTGCGGTGCGACGGCAGGTGTGCCAAGTCCGCGTTGGGATTGCATCCTCAGCCCAGAGGCCTGGGGAGGGGGAAGAGGAGAGGTGGCACAAACAGACAAGTTAGGTTTTTTTTTTTTTTTTTTTTTTTTTTTGGAAATACCACCACTTGGCCCTGGCCTTGCGACATAGCTTATCTATCATAAGGCTATACTTGAAGACGGTGAGGCCCTGTTGGGATCCCAAGGGATGATGCCTGCTGTCGATTGGCTATAGAGAACCCTAGAGCGAAGTGAGATTCTAGATAGCGGCCTTGGGAGGACGAACGCAGCATCGCCCATTGGCACGCTCCGTAAAATGTCGGCGTAGCAAGTCTAGACTATCATGTATTGTACTGCAGTATCCTGTACGAGGTTTATAGCAGATGATTGATTCCTGGATGAACGGAGATTTGCCTTGACCAAAATTTGTCTAGTATTGATGTTTTATGTACCTACGTATACGTACTTGATATAGGTGGGTGAATATCTTGGACACGATACATTCATAACCTGTTGATATGGCCCCATTCTGACGGGCAAGCAAAGAGGACCCGGTTCCATCCGTCCCGCCCCCGGCCATGGGAGATTCCCGCACCGTTTTTGTTGTATACATCAGAGACTGACTTTCTGGGAGAGTAGCCCCCATTCATCTGCGCTCTGCCTTGTTCCGCCTGTGGCAATGCCTCGTTTTGCTACGTAGCAATAATTTATGAAAAGCATGATGAACATGCAAGTCTATGTGCAAATGGAACCCGCAAGGATGGACGAACGAATTGTTGAAATCATTGTATAATTAGTATAAAAGACGTATGGTGTTGTGGTGTCTGCTTGTCCCCATGGTCACTTATCTACTTACCTTACCGTACCTCGCCAGCGACATGGTGTCTAGATGAGCGGCCGATGTTCCGAGGAAGCGTTGGAGCAGGCGATAAGATGATGTGGTTATCAAAACCACCTCCTGCATAATGCCGAGAGAGGGTAAGGAAAAAGGAGGGAGACAGAGACGCGGCCAGTTTGAGAAAGAATCATGCCGGTGTATGTGTGTGTGTGTGGCCGCATGGGTGGGATTGAGATGTAGGGAATACACCTTGGGAGACGAATCAAGACCAACGTCTTATCAGTCCCCCCCATCACAGGACCGGTGCCCCGTTCCCTACCCATTCCGATGTAGGTACTCTTCCCTTGTGTGTTTTCTCTCTCTCTCGGGCTCACAAGCAAGCCAAGATTGATTCGCGACTTGCCATGGGATGCAATGGATGGATTTGTTGACCTTCTGCCAATGCTTCCTGTTTCTGGTCTTTTTAGCCCTGCTGCTCAGTGCCAAGCTCAAACGGTTTGCAATTGCCGAGCAGTTGATAACGAGAAGAAGGAGAACAACAACAACAACATGAAGAAGTAAAAGATGAGGAAGAGGTGATCGCTCCCAGAACTACTAATTCTCACCAACGTAGGCATTGTTGTATCTTCCGAGGCACTCTTCACTGGAGAGATGTCCAGTATTCTGTACCGTGTAGGTAGCAAGGTCATGTACAGAGTAGGTAATAAGTCTCCATCCAACTCCAGAGACTCTAGACTCCAGACTCCAGATAAGTGATAGCTGCCGCCGAGATCCACCAGGAGGTCGCAGAAGCTGGGGAAACGCCCACACTCGACCCCATTTTGCATTAGGTACGACTTACCTACAAATGTCAAGGCCCAATATTGTGTGTCTCTTTCTTGAGTCGTCTATCCGCCCTGTCCCTCCTTTTGCTGGCTGCCACCACTTTGGAATAAATGTACGTATCTACTCCACACCCAGGTCGGAATATGCACTGTGTCCAACAAGCAGTTGATATATGTAGAGAGCTCGTTCGCCGTGGCTGTGGCCGACTGCGGGCGCTATCCCGACCCTCGCGAGGGACCTGTTTGGGTTCCCCTGCCCATCATAGTAATGAATGCTCCTTCTCACACTCACCATTTTACGGTATATGGTACAATACGTGCATGCATGCTTTCGTGCACGCCTTCAGGGACCATGGTACACACCGTGACACTCATACACACGCGCTCAAACCCAACAAACTTGAGGGTTCACTAACTCACTTGAAAGCCATTCAGATATCTCGTGGTATCTCTATCGAATCAAAATGCTCCGTGCCTGTTTGGCTCGCTGCTGCACAAGGTCCCGCTCAACCTGACTTTCGACAATCGGCAGGACGAGCTGTTCTCGTTGCAAGTGAGGCGCGCCGATAACCCTGCAGTCTGGACCGCAACATTGACACATACACACACTCCATTCCCCCCTCTCCAACTCACACCACACACATACACACAACACATGTTTGTACCAATGCATAATGGCGTACGGATACTTACGCATCCATCGGTGGGAACGAGTTTTATAACAGACGAAAGAAACTAGAACGTAGGTAAAGGCTAGTTTGGTACATTGCGTCCTTGATAAATGAGCGGATCTACCCACGTAAGTTGCAACCAGATTCAAACCCCGTCCCCCCTCCCCCGGCACGGTACGTAGTACGTTGCTCTTTATCTCCTCCCAGAAGCGATTCCGGCGCTGTCCATCCGACCAGGGAGTAGTAGGTAGGTGTAAGAAATCATTACATACAATAACAAGAGTGTGCCAACAACGCATGCGGGACCCGATGGCCAAAATCGAGTGCACATTTCGGATTCTCGAAAGAGACTGCTCCTCGTTCCGCCTCTGCGATACGTACGACGTATGCACCAATATATGCATACCCATCTGGGTACACTCATATATACGTAAGATAGTACCTGGGTACAGGTATTGTTATTTGCCTTACATTACACTGCATACCCGGAACCCTCCCACGTTCAGACGTCGGTGCGGATCACCTTCTTTTTGCCTCCCACGGGGGGTCCTGGGCAGTCGGGACAGACGACTGGGGACTGGGCTGGAGGGAGGGACTGGACTGGACTGGAGTCGACAGGACCTTTCAATCAGACCCTACCTTGCCTACCGTCTATCTGCCTGTCTTGGTCTATCTAGTACCTGTCCGCTGTCTAATAAATACTACTACGTACAGTGAAAATATCAATCAGTCAATCAATCAATCTACTTACCTACCAAAGCTACCTGCCTACTTATCTACTTACGTGATGTACCTACGACTTTGTTTGCGCGCATAACGAGCTGCCGGCAACCAGCACGCACAGAATCGATTCATCAACATACGTACTACCTATCTACCCACCTATATACGGTACATACCCACCAGCATACAGACCACTACTACCTAGCTTTTACCCACCCCCAAAGGTACGAGCGGTTATCTGGTACCTCTTCCCAGAATCGACGAATCCACCCCCAATCGCCATCCCTGCCCGACTTCTGATGAGAGACAGCATTCGAGCAGGCATATCGGTCAATTCTGGCCTATCGGTTTATCTGCAACATCTACCTCACTTACCAGGGCGAGCGCATCGCATCTGTCGAGGGGTTTTACCTCCCTTCCACAGGTACTAGGTACGGCCTTTTAGTATTAATGGATTCATGGTCCACCCACGTATGTCGCTCAGCGAACCACCACCCTCTTTCCACCTGCGCAAAAAAAGAAGAAAAAGAGAGAGAGAGAAAGTGAGTGAGAAAACAGCCATTGTACTCACTTTCGCCATACTCGAATCATTTAGTGCTTCTTGGATCTTTTGGTTCTTGTTGGATTGCTTACTTACTGACCGGAGCTGCCAGAGGGGATCCCAGTGAGTAAGTGAGCGAATGAGCAATAACTGCCGTCTGTCGGTGCCAAATCTGTTATTGTCCAAGTCCCATTTCTCATTCCTCGCCTCGTGCGACATCCCGCGCGCTGTCTCGGCTGCATATCTTTCGAGTCCACGTTCTACTCGGCCGGGATCTTGATCTTGGCTCAGTTTCCATACTTATCACGTCAATCCACCCGATTCCTTGCAATCAACCACCATCAAGGACTTCCTCTTCTTGCATTCCCTACCCATCGCCTCGCGTTCTCCTTCGCAGAGGGCAACTTCACTCCTCAACTTATCCAGGTCTTCACTTGTTTTAAGCGGCTTCCGTTTCTCACCACGCGCAACTTGTACCACGCATACACACACACACACACACACACACACTTACAAACACACCCCCACATCCCAATTTTCCCCATTCAATACATCAAGTCGTATTTAGATTCATTCCATGGACGACACAGATCTCTCACGAATCGTGCCCCTGTGCTGGATTTAACAAGATTTGTGGACGATACGGAAGAACCAGAGAAATCGTAATACCTGCCTGGAACGGACTGCTGTAATCAACAAAAAAGAGTGCCGCGAGCATGTCTGCTCATTCATCGCCTCCCCCGGCGCAGGGGCAACTCGCTCCGGACATAGATGAGACAAAGTTACCAAGTGGACAATGTCGCTATATATTGCTCAACCCGGAGATCAAGGGACACCGCTGCGGCTGTGTGGGATTCACCCTCAACCGCTCAGTGCCGGGCGTTTCCTGCGAGTGTGGCCATCTTTCATGTTATCACATCAAAGCCCCCGAGCAGCCACCAGATCAAGCACAAATAGAACAGCTCGTTCGTCGCGTTCGGGCATTGGAGGAACAACTCGACCGGGAGAATCAGGGTGGTCTTGGCAGTGCTTTGAGTACCGTCATCAACCGGCTAGGTGACCTGGAGGAACAATATGAGAAGAGCAAGGAAGACTTTGGACAAGAAAATCGAAACATCTACCGGCAAATCACAAGTGTATGGCAGTCCGTCGATCAGGCGGGTAAGCGGCAGGTCGAAATGCACAATCGCCTGGCTGTATATGATGAGAGGCTTGAAGAGCACGATGACGGCATGCGACGGCTTGAGAGACGGTTGATGGAGTCGGATGATGCCGCCATCGACCTGGAAGAACGCATGGACCGACTAGAAGAAGCGGATCAACGGGACCCTCGTCCACGGAGAAGCTCTTCTTCAAACTCCAGGCGGCCCGACGTCTTGAGCTTGACCACGGACTTACAGCGTGGTCGCAGCGGATCACGGGAGGTGGGACGGCACCAAACGGGAAATCTACCCCTGGCTACTCAGATGACCAACACAACGGCGGCCGGTGTGGTCCGGCCATGGACGGTCCACGTATCACTCATGCCCATGGCTACGGTAGCCTTTCCTTTTGAGAAGGACACCAACGCGTACAAGCGGTGTCTTTCTCGGGGCCTTCACCAAATGATTGCCGTGCAGGGAACGGACAGTGAATCCTTTTCCAGAGCCGTGGCAGCAGCCTTTGGCAGCCTCCTAAAGGGACGGCCGTGGATGCCACTGCAAGCACGGCTATGCGAGGCCGAGACGCTGTTGGGACTGCCCATGCTCCGACCATTGGAGCCGACCTTGATCGACGCAAAAAATTATGACCAGGGATTCCTCAGCACGCACTGCGCAGTTTGTGGGCCCAATGGGAAAATGGACTCGCTGTATATTGCCATGCAGCTTGACACGTTCTCGTGGCACTTTCTACAGCGATCGCCATGTTATCTCCAGGGACTCGAGGAAAGCTGGGCCTACGATCCGCTCCTGGACCGCAACGATCCAATCGAAGATGACAGCATGGATGAGGAGGACAGACCATCGGCTGGAGATATCCTGCAGCCGCTGCCGTGCCTGAAAAGAACATCGTCGCAAATCTCCAGAACGCCGAGCTTCAGTGCTGGCTCGGGGGAAGGGGAAGGCTCACGATCCAAGGTGGCACGGACGGGAGCCTTAGCTGTCCCGGTGCCACTAGAGCTCCGTAGACGGGCGGAAAAGGTCTAAAGGAGGACCGAAATGGCAAGGAGTACTGCCGTGTACGTAGGCCGGGGTTGGAAACGCCTATGTCAAAGATTGGTAGTGACAGTAGCTGGGCGGCGATGATAGAAGAAGAAGAAGAAGAAGAAGAAGAACAGGAAGAAACAAACAGGCAGTTTTGGGTCAACGGCGCATTAGATAAACAGGGAAAGGATACCATGACTCACTCGAGTCACAAGCGTAGCGAGTTTTATTCTATTTCATTTGAACTACGATTGGGACAGGTCTTGTGTGCTTCCGGCTAGGTTTCCTTGCATTATAGGGGGGATGTAGCAGCAGTGTTCAAGTATAAGAGATAGTTGGGTGAATCTTCATGGCCATGAAGATTTACATACCTAGTAGACATTGAATACTCATCTAAAGAACTTGGATGAAAAGACTGACTTCATGCAGATCTAGGTGCTACACAGATCAATCTTTCGGTCATGGGTGAGAGCTCAACTGTGCGATTTGTTTCATTCGTGGCAGTATAAGTTCGGCTATTGTGCAGAATGGAGACGTTTGGAATGTATCGTGCAAGTTTAGCCCTGAAATAATGACTATAATAAGCATTGAGGTGAAGGACACTCATCCAATCAAAATCAATTCGGTTTGGATAAAAAAGAACGTGAGGTGAGAATAATCCTAGAGACGTGGTTGCCAGTCCACTAAAATACATCACTTATTTATGGATCATTTGGCTTACGATTCCATTTCAAAGATTTCCTATATCGAATGGCTGAGATGCCAAAGGAGCGTCAGAAATAGAACTGTCTGTTCCTGCTCCGATTAGGTACAATAGAAGGCAGCGTGACCCTAGATGTCAACATTGAACCTCCGGATCCGCACTCACAACTTAGAGTGTATGTAGGTAGCGGTTAGGTGCCTGTAGGTAGCTCTGCTAGGGTTAGTGTAGTTAGTACTAATAGCGGGGCTCTCGGGGTATCGGATCGGCCCCTCAATTCCCAAGTGCTTGCAAGGCAAGCAGCAACTGCCCAGGTGTCAAGTCATTACCTGGTCTCGGGAATGCTACAGAAGAAAGAG